ACATATAGAGAGAGACAGAGAAGAGATTCATTTACTCTCGAAATAAGTATAACTCATGTTCTATATTAAATCTCAACAATCTAACCATTGAATTTAAAGTTTTTAATGCACAGATTAAATCTGTAAATTTAAAAAAAAAATTAAAAATCATTTGATACTTCTTTTCATTAATTCAAATCAATGTATAAAATGATTTTATGATTACCCGTTAATTTGAATTAATGAAACGAAATATCAAATAATTTTCAAAACTTTTAAAAATTTACAGACTTGATTTATACATTAAAAACTTTAAATTCAAAAGTAAGTCTATTTAGACTTACTCCACTATACATCAAATTTTAATACATTAGTTATAAAAGTTTTTAATACATAAATTAAGTCTACAAATTTTTAAATAATTTAAAAATTATTTAATATTTCATTATATAAAATTATAAATTTAAAATAAACGTATAAAATACTTTATAATTATTTATTAATTTAAATTAATGAAACGAAATATCAAATAATTTTTAAATTTGTTAAAAATTTGTTCTCTCTTTAAATTCTAATTTCATGTCTTGCTAAATTCTTTAAATTTCATCAATATATTTTTATTGAATTTCTACTTAATAATATTTTAAAATATTAACATTTTAATTTATCATATAATTCCCAACTATTTAAATAAAAAAAACATATATAAAAATTTAAGATTTTGATGTTAAAAAAATGGACTAAATATCAATTTTTTTCTTTTAAATGTAAAAAGACTTTATTTGCTACACAAAGAACATGTGAACAATCAGTTTATCAGAATAATCAGAAATCAAATGTGTATATAAGTTTTATCAATAAAAATATATATAAATGGATCTTTATGTTAAAGATATTTTTTTTAAGTCGTGTGTCATACTTTTAATATTTTTTGTACTAATAATAAAGGAAATAAGTTTATTATGTTCACATTAATTTTTATTTTATTTTATTTCAAATAACTGTAAGTACACTCAAATAATTGTAATTATCAAAACAAAATTCAAATTATCAAAAAAATCACTCAAATAATTGTTTAACTATTATAAAAAAAAATTTAAATTATACTTTTAATTCTTTATTTTAGTTTTAAAATTTATTTTAGTCTCTTTTAAAAAATTATTTTATTTCTTTTATGTTTTAATGAGTCATTTTATTCTTTCCAAAACTATTATTATTTTTAAGTTTGGAATGTAATTTTGAATTATTATTTGACCAAGATATAAAATATTTTATTATATTTACCTACATAAAAACTATGAACCTAATTGATATATGATTCAAAGCATTATAAACACAATGCATAAAAGCAAATTCTTCATTATGATTTTTTTTTATTTGATCACCAATTAATTTCAATAATTTTTGTATAATTGAAATTCAATAAAATAATTTTTATATCTTAAATAAAAAAAATTAAAATTATGTTCTAAAATAAAGAATAATCACTATTTTGTGAGGATTAAATTGATCCAAATTTAAAAGATAAAGGACCACTCAAAATAATTATTTTAAAAAATAAAAAGATCGAAATACATATTAAAATTAAGATAAATAATTAAAAATATAATTTAATTTAAAAAAAATTATAGTTTTCTCTTTTTCTAACAAAATCATGTAGTACTTTTCTTCCTGCTAATTGAGAAAATAAGAAAATACATTCTTAGGGTGATTTTGAATCTTATGACCTAATTCTCAGAAGTAAAATGCTTAGGCACTTGCAGTAACCAGTGAATTATAAGGAAGAGTTAAAGTGAAAGAAGAGCCAAAGACGCGAGAGAAGCAAACATATAAAGCATAGTAATTACTAACAAGTGAATTATAAATCAAGATCCGAAAAGAAATATCACACGAATGAAGTAGATAGAAAAATAAAGAAGAAAAGAAAAAAAAAAAAAACCACGAAAGAAAGAAAAAAAAAAAACACCTACACAAAGACCAGAGACATCATTCATAGCTGTCCAATTAAATGTTAACTGATTTTGCCCCAACATGTCCACAGCAAATCCTAGAGAAAAAGACGTATTTTCCATCCCGTTTAACAAAACAAAAGTACATGCATGCTCATGCAGCGAGATTTCGCGCCCATTGCTTTGCGCTGACCCTATCTCGCTTCAGAAAGAAGTAACATGAAAAAAACATAAACAATGCATAGTGTTCGTATATAAAAGTACTAAATTTTATTTTCCAACAAAGCTGTTCCTTCATTGTTACATTGTCACAATTATTAATTCCTTGCCAGAAGCCAAGAGACACAACCCCACTTAAAACTACAAAACAGACATAAAAATTCAACACTATAATTCAAAGTCATGTTTTGTCTTTTTGTTTGTAGTTTAAGAAAAACAAAAATTCCCACGACCCATCTTCCTTGGCGTGCTCTTTTTCTCATATGTAAAGTGAGTCGTACAAAGATCATGCTACAGTGATTCTATATCCACAACTTTGTTCTCAATCTCGTCCCATCACTATATATGACTTCAATTTTCATATTTTCTGATATATATATTTTTTTGTTAACTATATCAAGTGATATGACTAATACCATAGTCGCTTTCTGATGGACCAGAGGGGTGAAATGAAATGTTTTACTACTTTACTCTCTTTCAGTAGCTCTTGAGCATGGTTTAGTCCAAGAATTATGGATCGTTGGATTGTTTCCACATCCAGTGATTTTCCTTCTTTTGAGGTCCCCCTCTTGTCTCAGAGGAGAATCAGCAACGATGATTCCGTTGGTTTTTTCACTTTCTGAACTCAGAAAATGATGGTCCAACACATTAATCGGTGTCTCTGACCTTGAAACCCCATTCAACGCAGACTCGTACTCCTCCTCTATGGCTATGTCTTGTATCACTTTGTAGCACTGCTCGACATTTTCCTGCAGCAGTAAATTTTTCGTACCATCTATTAAATCTATTCACACTGTACTTAAATAATAATCAAATCTTAAAATAAAATTCATTATTTCTTATAATCAAAACATTATTAGTATTCAAAAAAATATACTTTGTCACTTAATAATAAAGTACAATCTAATAATAATAATATAAAGTAAGAATGTGTACTTTATTTACATATGAAGAATCGGATATTGCTTTTAAGATGGACGGATATTGAAAAGGAAACAACTCATGAGAGGCACAGAGAAGGGCAGATGCAGCAATAATAGATGGCTTGAATTCCCAAAGCCTTATCTCTGCATGTAAAAGACAATAGTTATTAAAAACCAGAATTTAGATATTAAATATTAATCATATCACATATGATATTTATGTGTACCTCTTTGTGACTTGAATATGATTTCAGAGGCTCGGTTTTTCAGAACCTGTCCCATAGGTGAGTCTTTGATCTCGATCAAGGCAATAAAGAAGGCTACGAAGGAGAAGGGGGTGATCGACCTCATCCTCCATTTTAATGCTCCCAAGATTAGTGTTTCCATTCTTTGTATTGTTTGTGCCTCAAAGATGATGCCACCATCACTTTGATTCAAAAGGGTCTAATAAAACAAAACCAGCTTTAATGAATACATATTGCATAGTAAATTATCGATCTCTCTTACAAAACCCTCTTATGTTATGAATACATCACTTAGAATGCATAATGGCGTTTTTACCTGGACATCAGTGGTAGGGTATTCAGTTCTCATCATTTTGACAGCAAGAGAAATGCAAGAGACAGCAATGAGCCTAAGGGCCCATGGCTTTGTTTGCTGTTACATAAGCCAAAATTTTAAGTCATATCTTGAAGGTAGGAGAATCCAATAGACTCTCTTCTATAGTCTTAAATCTTCAAAAATAAGAATATGAATTAAGAGAATAAGCAAAACCACCTAAAAGCTAGCACATTTGGATTCCTTACCAAAATCCCTTGGTTGGCTAGGAACCGATCCAGATAGTTGATTGCAAGGTAGCACAAAACCGGATCCAAAGTACAAGACAACTGAACAAAACCAAAGAATGCACACTCAGATTATGTTTATAAAAAAAACAATTTTTTTCCTCAGACAATATTAATAACCAACATTTTGGTACTTACCTGTGAGATTAAGGAAATGAGTTCTGTTCTGACGGAGATGTCAAGATCTCTGTCTCTGAGAGTGTGAGAGTGATTCTGCGATGGGGTGTGGTCAGATTCGATGAGGAATAGGTAAGAGAGGGCATCAGGGTGAAGATTTTCCAAAGGGTTTTCAAGGTCAAACTCCATGGACGAGGTGTGTTGGTGAAAGAAGGTACTCACTGGGTTAAAAGGCAAAGAAAAGCATGCTGAAGGGAGGCAAAGTGGTAAAGAAAAAGCTGCAGAGAGGGTTTATAAGTTCTCAGCTTTCTTCAAATGAATACTATGGAGTCTCTTCGGTTTTTCAGCAACAACTTTGCCACTTTTCTTTTTCTAGCTGTTGGCTTGCTAGTTGCTGCTCCCTTTATTAGTGTTGTTGCCTTCTGTGCCCCTCTCTCTCTCTCTCTCTCTCGTATCTCTTTGGCATATATATTTATTTTGGGAAAATGGAGGACTTTGGTCCACTGTGTTCAGGGTTGCATGAGGTGGTGGTGCTGTGGCAGGACCAGATTGGTGAAAGCACAAGTCAATTTTAGTGGGAAAGTTTAGTTTGACAATTGACATTCATCATGAGTTGATATGTGCACTGTTTTTTCCCTTTTAAATAGAGGGGTGAGTTAATAGGGTGGGTGATTTGATAATGTGAGACCTAGATCAGTCTTTGGGATTTTCATGATCATGACCTTATTGCAATAATGCTTAATGGCATGGCACACTCCTGATTAAGACGGGAGCAAAATGGTATTAATAACTCGTCACTCCTAAATTGAAATGGAAAGTGCAAGTAAAATGTTACTATCTACTCTAATAAATACTCCAATGTTTCACCTGTTCTTCACTTTTTTATATTAGGCAATTAAAATTTTTAATAAATTATGCTGCCTTGTTGGGTGGATCCGTGGGATTGAGCATCAAACAGTTGCAGCTGATAAAGAAATGATTTAATGAATAATCCTTGTGGTTATTGCCTACAGCAAGCAGCATGCCCAAATTCAATGTCACCAATGAAGCATTATGTTTCTAAGATAAAGCAAAGGACTAGAAGTGGATGATTAGTTTCTTCAAAATCTCTCTAATCAGTATATGGATTGAATGTAGACAAATATATATGATTTTTTTTAATGATTGTACCAAGATTAGAAAATATAACCTTATACATGTTATTTCAAATTTCACCACAATTTCAAGTTAAATCATAAATCTATTGGTTAAAAATTAAGGACGAATGCCTAAATACAATTCATATGTCATAATTGCTATGTTGGTAGAAAAAGCAACGTTTTTAGTCAAGCCTATATATACAGGCGACATTGTCATAATTGCTATGTTAGGACTTAGGACTATGAACGATAAGTTAAATTAAGATATGGTTAAAGGACGGCTCAATACTACAGGCTATTACTTAGCAAGGGCTAATTTTTAAGATTTTGAACTTACTTATATAACTTTCAAAATGTAAAATACACTAAAGCATTAATTGAAGAGGAAAAAACTATTATATTTTTAGTAGAAACACAGGGTTCGTTAGATAATATAGTTTTTATATAAAGCTGTAAAGTCTTTTATTATTTACTCTTATTTAGTGGTAATTTATAGTCTTGCTAGTTGCACATATGCTTACACTTTCTTTTTTTTGGTATTTGAGTTAGCTGATGTAATAGAAATATTAGCTACAATGATTCTCAAATTGTTTATGCTGTTTGGTTCTCTCACGTTCTTCCTCGATTTTTTTCAATATTGCATTACAAATCTTAGATTTTGATCAAACTCATATTTGGAACAGATATAGTCTATAAACACACAAAAATACTCGATAATTGATATCACACACACATATAATTTTAATCAACAGAAAATTTAGGCACAAATTTTTTCTTGAGTACTATTAGTATTATTTTCTAATTAAAATTAAATTTTTATTTTGATAATATGCAGAAATATATATTAATGAAAATTTCATTAAATGTAATACATAATACTAAAACAAAATTTCTAATTTTCATTGAAAAATAAAACCAACCATACCTAATGAACTATATATAAATTTTTCCTCTAATTAATTATTTTACTTAAGAGTGGAAAAGGAGGGGAAGGGAGAGGAGAAGTTAAAAAATTTATTTGATTGAGTGGACAGGAGAGAAAGTAATTTTTTTTTTTTTTTTTGGTTCATGAGGAGAGGAAGATTTTAAAAATTAATTTACTTTTGTATTTTTATAACAAAATATCTCCCTTCTCCTTCAAATCTCTTCAATATTTTAGAGTTAAAATTAGATTAAGAAGTATTTTACTCTCTTTCCTCTCTTTTAAAAAAATGAAATAAAAAAGTTTTTAAAAATCTCTTATCTTCCCTCTTTTTTCCTGTGTTCCCCTCCAACTAAAATCTAAATTATAAGTGAATGACTAACTAAATATCAATATGAGAAAGAAAAAAAAAAATATCAACAGAACAACTTAGGAGCCTTTCCCTTGTGTTCTATAATATATTGCTGATCAACTACTAACCTAGAACCCACTATATATTATAAACTTCTAAATTCACACAGTATGTGTATGATTCAAAAGACTAATGTTTTTGTCTGGGTCCACGTTTGTTCCCTCATTGATCTCAATGTATTATAGTGAAAGGCGACGAGAGAAGTATTAAGTCCCACCCTGAATCCTGGAAAAGGCAAAATATCGTCTTGTCTCTAGTCATTGTTAAGCAAAAAAAATAATGGCACAAACCTACTCTAGTTCTCAAATCAAGACCACCTATTTTTTAAAACGATTTATTTAATAGATTGCACTATGACTTTGGAGGGGAAGTGAAGTCTACTTTTATTTAATGCAAGAGACTATACTACAAAATTAAAAATGGCAAACTATATTCCTAGATGCAAGATCTAAGACACAAAAACGAGGGAACATATTGGTGGTTGCGAAATGAAACGGTGAGCTCTTGGTAACTTAGGGGTTTAAGAAAAAAAAAAAAAAGAAGAGTGATTTAGTCATTGATCTAAGGAAAAATTAAAATGAGTGATTTACACACATAAACAAAGTGTGTGATTTAGGACCCTTGTTTAAGCCAAAGGCAGACATCATTGACCTTATTTGGTTGGGGATGCATATGGGACACGTGTCATTAGGATGAGGAAAGTTAGTTCTTGAGTAACTTTTTGAATATTGGTTGACAAGTCAATATGAAAATGAAAGATTAATTGTTATTGTTTTAAATCATTAGTTTTTTTTTTTTTTTTCAACAGGGATAAAGTAAAAGGAAACAGAGAATTATTACACATCACGAGATTTGGTATGTAGCCTATTAGTACAATATGAATAAATTGAGATTTAGTTTTGTTTTTATAAATGTTGTAAATAAGAGTTTTTTTTTTCTTCTTTTTTTGGTGATTGTAGATAGGAGTTTCAATTAGAAATGGAAACAAGTGAGGTCCCAATAGCTTGTGGCTTAGTCTATATTAGGTTTAGGTCAGTTAGACTATTTTAGAAAATAAATCAAACAAAGGATTTTATTAAAATTTATATAGTTAAAAATTCAAATTTTATATTATTTAAAAAGCTTATTAGAGTCTATAAAAAACTTATTTGAGTCAACAGACGATCTATTTAAAAAAAACTATTATTATTATATAAATTTATTATAATATTTTAAAATCTTTTCTATATAGAAAAATATATAAATAAATCATAATATATATATATATATGTATATATATATTATGATAAAAAAAATTATATATTTATTCAAAATTTTGGTTTTAATAAATTTTATATATTCAAAATTATTTATTTATTATCAACTTTAGTTATATAAAATAAAATGTTATCTTGTGCTTGCAAATGGTATAAAATATTAGTTAGATACATTTTAAATAATTATTATTATCATATTTTAATTTATTTCGAATACTTTAGACTAAGGCATCAAACTAACTAGCATTACTTCTGAATATAAAAAAAAAACTAGCATTATTTATTCTAAATGAAACTAAGTTTGAAATCCTTAAATAAATTATTGAGTTTAAACTTTTTGAATGAAAAATAAATATAATTAAAAAGAAAGACTCTAATAAAAATGACCACAAATATTACTCATCAATAAAATCAAAAGATAACCAACACCTATAACATGGTAAAAAGAATATCAAGTTAATTCCTAAATTTTAACTTATAGCCATTTTTATTTGGTCCTTAAAATTATATAAAAAATAATCGTGAAATTATTAATTGGCATTCATTTTAGTAGTAGTGTTAAAAATATGCCGATATGATACCTAACTTTGACAATAGTCGATGTGATCATTTTTTTATCACTAACTTTGATTTGATACACACAAGTCAATTTAATCCATGACTTTATATTATAATTAGGCGATTTAATGTCTATATACATTATTCGTTTTTTATTTTTGGCTTAAAATGTACATAAATATGGATACTAATCTGCAAGAAATCATAGGATTCTATTTGCAATTAAGGATAGTCAAATTCTTAAAACAGGAGATTAATGATGATAATAACAATATCAAATATTTGGCACATGAGTATTTCTGGGGATGAGTTTTAATTGAAGTGATTATTGAGATAGTTGACTAATTAAAAGCTTTGGGGCATTGCAAGAGGCCCAGTGGCTTTTCAATTTTCATGTGTTTGATATTAATAACTTGGAAATGCCTTTGAAGAACGTTCCATTTCTTTTGGAGTTGCTTCAACCTTGCTCTATCTCTCTAAGAGTACACCTTTTGCTTTTCTTGTTGGATGTTATCTTAAAATCATAGATTCTCTTGGTTCAAGAGAAAGCCCATAGATTTTTGTTTTCTTTTGATAAAATAAAACTTTGGATATGTATCTTAAGTATTTTTTAAGATACTTAAGATAATAAGATGGAATTAACTTCAATTCAAATTAAAAAGCAACAACAAAAAAGAACTTTAATATCCTTTAAGGAAGTTATTTTTTTATTTATAAAACTTACAATGACATTATCAAGATTCCTAGTAATATGTTAAGAAAGATATATAATTGCACACCTCAAACTAAAATGCAGTTTTAAATGGAAGTAAAGAATGAAAACTAATCTGAAAGGTAGAGGAAGATGGAGGGGCACGTGATGATTAATTTGATGAGTGCACTGTGCAAATAGCACGCCACAGCCCCCAAGCAGACAGCAGCATGATTGCATGTTTAATGTTGGCAATTGAGGGCGTAGACAAGAAGGTGGACCTTTTCCTAGCTACTTGGGAAACCCTAAAAACACACACCAATAATCGACTCTCTTTTCATGAACAATCGTATTGTGTAATCATGTAATGTGTCAAAAGGGATAGAGTGTGGCCATATATATGTATCAATATGATCCTATTGTTACTGAATTGTGTGCAAAAGGTTACAATATATATATATATATATATATTTACTTCTTTTTGACCGAGTATTTTCACAAATATTGCAGTAGAATTGAATTTTGAGATATTACTGCATTTGGATCTAGTTATTAATCGTAATGGTGTGTTTGATTTAAGGAAGAAAATGAAAGGAAAAATTTAGAAGGTAAAGGAATGAAAACTTATGAAGTTATAAATTAAAAACTTATAAGACAATAGATTGGATTGAAAGTATTTATAAAATTAGTTGATCAATATAAAATTTATTTGATAATTAGAGTAGAT